AGTACAATACGTGGCGAGTGATTAGATAGCTGAGAGAGCGTAGTGTTGAAGAGGGCACAGCGATGAGAGTCGCATCAATGCTCAAATCAACGGGCAAGGAAGGGGTCCCATTTCTCGGGTTCTGGGCCGTTTCTCATGGTTTTCCTTCTTTCGTGTACCACTCACCATCCTAGGTTAATTTGAAATGGGTTGCTTTTCCATCGTGAATTCGTCCTTTAAAGTTTCCATGATGCTGGAGCAGATTGTTGACTTCAATGAATAACATTCAGAATATTGTAGTAGATATGAGTGGCCACGTTCCGATTGTCACGATTTCTGGGCAGCTTAGCTGGCAAGGAAGCTCGCGCTAGTCGTCTAAGATTCTGTAGAAATATTCAGTGTTATAATATTTGTCCAAGAGCTTCGCTTGGGTCGAAGAAAATCACCACAGCATGACGTTTTTTCCATTATTGTTCTCAGCAAGTCTTAAACTTTGTAAACTGTTGCAATTTACTATTCTATTTTATTTCATTTTTTACTGTTCCGCTCACAGCTGCTAAAACTTCCTACTACTAGTCGAATGTTCACCTAATTGGCTCCCATCTCCTACTTTTTCATACGGGCAAATAACGCACTTGTCCATGACGCAGTTCCGGTCATAGACGACTTCTGACCAACTGGTGTTCAGTGTTTTCCTTTAGGTGTATTAACCACGAACACATCATTAGCCAGGTCGGCTCTTTTCATTTCCTCTGTATAACCGGGCTAAAGTGATCCGATACTATTTCGAGCTTAGGTTAGCCTGGAAGTGGTCTTGCTCTGCGACATTTTTCCGCTGCCGTGCTGTGTAACCATTAAGATTGGCTTGATGAGCTAACCCCTTCTTTGTTGTTTCGCAATGTATCACCACCATACACCATGACGAAAGAGAAACGCGGGACTATTTTATGAGGAGCAGAAGGCTTGTAGAGCAAATTTGATGAACGTGATAAAACAAAGGATTGAAATCGAACCAAATACATTTAACCTAAATTCCAGATTCCGTCGGGTCTATTTCAGAATTTTAGACGGTGCGTTCCTGTTGCCGTAATTTGTAACTAAACTGGAGGTGTATATTTACGCTTTTTGTAATTACTGTGTTAGAAAAAAGAGGAAACAGACGGCGAAAGGCACTTATTTGCTCTGTTTCACCAAGCTGTTCACTAATTTCCAAATTAAAATTTTTCTCTCCCACTGAGTATTCATATTTTCTCGAGCACCATTTCATGAGATAAAAAGACGGGATATATTAGTAGCGCTGAGAACGGAGTGGAAGGAACCATTCCATTCTGCTTTGCGGCTCTAACAATAAGGGTCAATATCAAGTTAATGATATCTTTAATGCCTGGCGTAGACATAAGAAAACTATTGAACAACGCCGCTCTTTTAAACACTAACATATAGAAAAGATGTGGATCCACCTCACAGTCACCGACCATTCCTATCTCATTCTGCCACATTCAGTTGCCCCCGCCCCCCACCTGCGGAAGCTATACCATCTTCCACGCTAAAGCCCTCTTTTGCTGACATGATTGTGGCTCGCTTCTACGCTCCATTCCAGGTTGAATCAGCCGGGACTTGTCGATCGATTGTCGTTGTCGAGTCCTACCGCTGGCCTCGAAGCGGCGAGGGGGCGAAACGGGAGAAAACCCCGGCTAATAGTGGAGGTAACATCGCCTCAATGGGCTAGCTACCCGAGGGTCGGTATATCAGCTACAACACGCACAAAGAGGGTCCGGAGCGGCGCAGATGGAAGCACGAGCTCTAAGTGCACTGGAGCAAACGGCGACCTGAAGGGACCTGCAGACAAAAACCGCCGCAGGATTTGGAGTGCACAGGAAGAAAAGCCGACGAGGCATGGGGACTGTCTACGAATTTGCACCTACAACTGTCGTACCATCGCCTCAGCGGCCGACCAAACCATCTTGATGGAGGCCAGCAAGAAGCTTCGCTTTGACGTCATCGCCCTCCAGGAAACAAAAACCAAGGAAACAGCCACAAGAAAGGCTAACAACGGCCACCCACTTGTTCTAGGAGTCAAAGTGGATGGAAGAAACGTTGGCGGCGTTGGATCCACCAACCAGTTGAGCGACTGGTCGACTCAACGGAGGGATTCGGCCCGCGACTGGCCATTTTCCGCCCACGCATCGGCAACCGCACCCTCTATCAGCATTATTAACTGTTATGCGCCAACGTCAACAGCAGAGCGGATGCGTTTATAAGGAGCTGGAGGAGGCTACGAAGAAGGAGCGTTCGTACTACAAGTACGTTGTTGGAGACTTCAACGCAGTCATCACGAGGAAAAGCCGGCGACAGCGCGCATTGGACCACCGGAGATACAAGCGAAAACGGAGAGCGTTTGATGGACTTCTAGAACAATGCAATCTCTTCCACGGAAACAGCTTCTTCATGAAAAACGTGGGCCGAAGGTGGACATGGGAGAGCCCTAACGCAGCAGCTCACAGCGAAATCGACCATATTCTCACGAACAGAAAGTGGAGTTTGCTAGACGTCAGTGTGGTAGATGCATTCCGCACCGGAAGCGACCATAGACTCGTCCGGGCCAAAGTTCGCCTCCGAGCGAAACTCCGAAGACGAGACCACTATCGACCTCCACCCATACGACTGCCGCAGTACGACATAAACGCCATGGAGGCGGCCGCTGCTCTCTACACGTGGCAGGAGGCACAGGACTTGTCAAAGGACTACGACTTGCTTGTAGAAGGACTTGTACAGTGCGCAACGGCATCGGTTGTGACAGGAAGAATGAACTCGAAGAGTAGGATCGATGACAATGCTCGTACACTCCTCCAACAACGGGCTGCCGTCTCCACGTATAACTCTGCATCCACACCACTGGAACGTGCTACGATTAACAAAGCGTGCCGCTTCGCTGTGAAGGAGTCGATTCAGCGATACAAAGACGTGGCAGAAGCGAGAACGAGCCTCAAGCGATGTCGTCGGGACGTTAGTGTCCGATCGACGACGACACCGGTTTCCCGTATCCCTACACCAACACAAGAGGTGGCTCCGCGGATAGAAGAGTGGGAGATAGAGCACGCCTTACGTCAGATGAAGCCGAGAAAAGCACCCGGACCGGACCGCATCTCAGTGGACTTTTTGAGGTCGGCATTCCTACACTGTCATCAAGCAGCTCACCAAGCGCTATAATAAGTACCTGGACGCCCAGAGGATCCCGGACCAGTGGAAGACGTCAAATACGGTTCTTTTGTTCGAAGAAGAGCGAGCACGAGCAACGAAGTGAAGAACTATCGTTTCATTGCGCTCCTCTCACAGTTGTACAAGCTGTCCACGAAGACCATTCTAAACAGACTGGAAAGACAACTGACGACTATCAAGCAATGGAGCAGGCCGGGTTTCGCAAGGGCTTCTGTTGTGTGGACCACATCCACACCGCCACGCAGCTAATCGAGCGGGCCAAAGAATACAAGTACCACACATCAACCTGCTTGGAATGATGCATACGGACACATTCACCACCATCCGCTTGTGTTCAACGAGAGCTACGCGTGCCGATTGAAAAAGGAGTCAGGCAAGGCGATACGATCTCTCCCAAGCTATTCACCACCACTCAACCCTCAACCACGC